CTGAATGACTTGTCCCAGGTCACACAGTAAATGCCAGTGGGAAATGGTGACGAGGCTCCAATGCCTAGACCTTGCAATGCCCATGTCTACAAACATCCAAATGTTCTAAGTGCAACGTCTGAGGCCACACTTGTGGTGACAGAGATGGTGACAGAGGTGGTCACATACGTCTCCACAGGTCTCAAGACCTGTACCCAGCCACATGCTCTCCCTCTATTTGCTCTCACACAACTCGTGGACCTGGCCTCTTCCCTGGACGGGATCAAGTGAAAACATCCTCATGACTCTTCCTGCCGGGTCATGGAAAACGACACTGTTCCCCTCCCATCCCCGGGCAAGTGTCTGTTCTTGAAAGATTGACTGATTTATTTGAGAGGGGGAGGTGGCAGAGGGAGTGAGCGAATGTCAAGCGGACTGCAGGCTGAGCTGGAGCCTGACCTCACGACCCTGAGATCCTGACCTGAGCTGAAACCAAGAGTCGGAAGCTCAACCAGCTGAGCCTCCCAGGCGCCCCACCCAGCCAAGTTTCTTAAAGGACACCCAGTGTCTCTCCTTGTACATCAGCTTCAGAAAATTTCCTGTGGTGGATCCAACTGCGTGGAAGCCAAGGGCAGCTGCCTGGCCTGGCACAGAGCAAGCGCTCAAGCAAGGTTACTGCTCCCCACCACTCGTTCCTAGAAAGCTTCCAAGTCCCCCCCAACCCCACCCCAGGCATCGAACCCTCCTCCCTGGATGGCATCCGGGAACCCAGCCGCTTGGGCTGTGGAACCGCCCTGACCATGCTCAGCCTCGCAGTTGGCCGCCCTCCCCGGATGGGCCCCAACCCTCCACCACGTCCAGCAGGGCCCTGATTGTCCCGCCGTCCCTCCACCCGCCCTTCCGCAGGGAAATATCACTGCATCCCAGGACTCACGGCTTCTCCCCAGATCGGCCCGAGCGAGCCCGCGCTCCCACGGCCCACGGATAAAGAGGGTGTGTGCAAAGCGGGCACTCGGGGAAAGGCGAGGAGGGACACGTCGCGGGAACTTCTAAAAGCCGGTTACAAATCGGCCGCCCGGGGCGCGGGCA